TAACAATTATAAATAAACAGTAATAATAATATTCTGTCATTTTTTGGCCTATTTTCCTAACCTGAAGAGTGATTTTAAGAACAGTAAGGTGGTTGATGATGATAGCAGTCTCCTTCTCATGAGGTTCTTCTTACCAGCAGAACCACCTTTCTCTGTCAGTACATCAAGGACTGACTGATACTTGACAAATAAATCGAGCAACAGGTTACAGGAAGCATCACTGAGAAGGAGAGAAAGAACATTTTAAAAGAAAGAACATTAAAAAAATTAAAGATACAATTCTTACTTGCTTATATACATGTACATGTACTTACCTGACTCCTTCAATACTAAAAGTATAATCCAGTGCTACCTATTCATGTACATATCATTGTAATTAAAGGGTATACACATGACACTGTATTGATCGATATACCTCATATATCTCCAGTAGCAGAGCAGCTGTTAAATGATTCTTGGAGCCAACACTTGTTGTCATTAGGTAATCTCCTGATTTATCCTAATTAAGCACATGCACATAACAAACGTTTTAAATGTGACACTGACTAGTTCAAAATCATCAAGATCACACGTGGAGAGACGTCTTGAGATTGACCGCAAGATTTTCTTTAATCTCTTGAGATGACTGACTTGCTCCACCCCCTTCTCCTCCCATTCAATGGACCTAAAAGTAATTTCATAATAACAATCAATATAAAATATAATCTTGCTCTTCAATTCCTCTCTCTTACTGTTTAGTACAGAGCTGCAAGCAGTTCAATAAGTCCGACAATGGCTCCCTTTTAATATAAGAGTCACTGCTCTCATTCCTTGCTATACAGGAGGAGAGTTTGAGTGGCGGCAGTAGATCTTCATCATCTTCATAATAATGCTTAGCGAAGTGATCCAGGAGGAGGTCCAGTATGTGTCCTGAGAGCTTTGCATTAGAACTGAATGTGCTTGACAATGACTAGTGAACAGCGAAGAGGAGAATAGATTGTATATAATTGTATTATTATGTAGAGTGATTTATTGGAGGTGATAAAAATTCATTGTAAAATCTTTCACAAATTATATAAATAAAGATACATATTGTATGATAAAAAAGTACAATGTACATGTATATATGTATAATGAATTAATATACCTCATATAAAGTCAGTCTGACAGGTTCTTGATGAGTAAAACTACGTCTTAACATACCTACAATACAATACAGTGATGATTAGTGCAGTACCTGTCATGTGTGTGTTAATATCTTACTGAGTATCTCCAGGCATATTGATTCATTTGATGACCTTCCTCCACTGCTTGTATGGACCTCAACTAGCGTCTGTACAAAGTCACATGACAGTCACATGATCCGTAAGCTAACCTGTGATTGCGATGAATAGGAGAAGTCATCTTGACTTCCTGCTGAATCAAGAACCTATATGTGGAGGAATCCTTAGTATTTTGAGTAACTTTAAAAATTCATAAAAAATCTACACTTGATCGGAATTAGCTCAAACTTT